TATCCATACCAAGTCATTAAAAATCGTCAAAGGGACTCCTCTCGTCAATCATTACTCCGCTTAACTTGTCCGTGGGCTTCGAAGCTTCGCCTCAAGGGGATGGTGATCTTTCGCCTCCGTCCTGATCGGCGGCCACGCGCTGTTGTGTGCTCTGGTCCGATTCAAATTTGTTAAATTCTTACGCTTTCAGGGAACAGCGAGCGGTCCGTCGCCGATGGCCGCCCTAATGTCCGTCGCTGACAACCTGACGTCTCCAGAACCAGTGCCACAGCCGCCAAACAATCCAAGTCCCACCAGCAGGAGTCCACCTACGACCGCAGCTAACGCCCAGCAGCAGCGGAGCGCATCGAGAGGATCTCAGCACAGCCCAAACAGTTCAGGTTAGTCTGGGTATATATGGAATATCAAGAGCGAGCCCGAAAAAAAAGAAAAAAGACAAAAAAGAAAGAAAAAGAAAAAGAAAGAAAAAGAGAACGACCAAATCCGGGGTTAGAGTTGAAAGACAATATGGTGTAATGTCGCTACAGGGTCGTCGGGTAGAAGATCAAGCGGCTCAAGGCATGTGTCTTCTACGACAGTGACAACGTCCTCAGAGGGTGCTGTTGCTCAAGCTGCTGGCACCGAACACGTCTCGGCACCGACCCTCAAGTGCACCCTGTGCCAGGAACGGCTGGAGGACACCCACTTCGTTCAGTGTCCCAGCGTGCCACATCACAAGTTCTGCTTCCCTTGTAGTCGGGAGAGCATCAAGAGACAGGGTGCTGGTTCTGAGGTATGTCGATCGTCGTCGTCATCTTACTGTTATTTAATTCCGGTGGATCGTCGTTCCTTCCTTATTTTTAATTTGAGCCTTTTTCACTTCGGCAGGTCTATTGTCCAAGTGGCGAGAAATGTCCACTGGCGAACAGCCAAGTACCCTGGGCTTTCATGCAGGGCGAGATTGCCACTATACTTGGGGAGGACACCACGGGTTCCGGTCTCAAGGTGAAGAAGGAACGGGAAACTTAAGGGCCTTTATCGAAAGAGAAAGGTCAAGGCTCAAATTTTTCGTCCCCGATAGAAACACGTCGGGGATGTGTTTTTGGTGGAACCGTGAAGGTTCGCCAAAGAATTTTTGGTTACGCTCGTAAATGGTTGGGCTCCCAGAGTCAAACGACTGAGACTCGAGCCGAAGACGTTGTCCGGTGAGATTAGAGAATCCATGCGAGATTCCGTAATGGCGATTACTGGAGATGGCATTAAAAGATTACGTCTCTCTCTCTCTCTCATTGATTCGCGAATACGGAAGTATCGACTATTTGGTTTAAGCTGCTGTCTCGCGGTCCAAAGTAACGATTAACAGATGCGAAACGAAGCAAAAGGAATAATTACTAAGAGACGAATAAGTGATTATCTATGTGATTGGACAAAAAATTAGGAGCGACTTAAGAAATTGATGGTCGTCGATTAAAAGTTACGTGGGCGTCGCATTGACAGTTCTTGATTGGTTTTGAGCAGAAGTCTTCGGCAACTTTGCACGCTGGCACTGGTTCTGTGTACATATAATGTAGCGGAGAATGTACAAAGATGCATTTTTTTGCAGAGATCTTGAAAGGAAGCTCAGGAGGATAAGGATGCATGTAAGAACAAAAATTAAAAGAGAATAATTGGAGGATGACGTGAAGAAAAAAAAAACTGCAGGAGACGCGCGCGCTATAAGCACACTTCGTCTTTTTTTTCTGCCAATTTTAGGGATTTTTCGAAGTAGGGAAAGCAAAATACGCATGTGCGTTCGATATTTGTGCCCTCTTTGGGTTTGTACTTAGGCTTCATTGCCTTATACCAATTTCTATTGTCTTCTCACTCTCTTGCTCTGGTCTCGTATTCACGATGCGCCAGTACGCGCCTTTTAATCGCTCATTTGGGCGTACACCCAGAATACGCATTACGCATTACAACATTATGATACATTAAACGCCGCTTACAGCCAGAACGTGGCGCTGGCATTATTTTTCATGCTGTTTTACATTTTCTATTTTTACTTTGATAATGACAAGAACTAGTTTCTTTTCTTTCTTCGGCAGAAACGGTTTTCCGACGTCGTTACCCTTGTTTGTGATATGCATGAACACCCCAGAACACACTTTTCACTCTTTCTTCCCGTTTACCGAACACTTTGTTTTTTTTTATTTTCTCATTTCCGCGGCTAGAAAAAAATCTGCCTCGCCGTCTCGCGTAGCGTCCAAAAAAAAACCTCGGCGTCCTGACGCCTGGCGGATAATTTCGATTTTTTAACTGCCGCCTCTCTGAAATTTTGGATTTTACATTTACTCTCTCTCTCTCTCTCTCTCTTTTTACTTTGCTCGTTGTATCACATAAGCACGGTGAAACATTTCGAAACCCAACGCGGCGGGTTTTCTTGTACATTATGTATATGTGTACATATTATATATTATTAATAAAACGTATATATGATTATAAAGGAGTAACCATTTTTCAATGTACAAAGATTATCGTTTTCTTTTTCTTTTCTTCTCTTTTTCCTTCATTTCTCTTTTCACTTTCGTTTTCACATATTGTCGTTAAATTATTTACTATCTCGTTCTTTCGCATCTCTCTTTCTCTTCCTCGTTGGAGATATTGGTCTTTGGCTTTAGGACTTATTCTTACACTTGCTTCTGAATACGTTCTGTAAAGTTACGTCGCGCCTGCGCATTAGCGTTTACGCTGACATTCGGAAAATAGCAGCCAACGACGTTCAAAGTGGCCCGTACGCTGCGTCACGTGGACACGTATCCGATATGTCTTCTTGGCCGTTTATTTATCTTTCTGTCGAATCCCTCAAATTCCCTAAACAGACCACCAGAGACTCTCGCTGTTCCTGATCTTATCCTGTCTCTCCACAGACTGTCGCTCTAATTTCTTCTTTCTCTTTCCTTAGTTTAAAAGCGCTAGATTTTAAGTGAGGGCCTTTTGGTTTTTCATTTTCCCGATGAAAAAAAGAGGTACGCCCGTCAAATAGGAACCACACACTCGCTATGTCTGAAAAGTTAATTAAAAGTGATGACGATGTTGAAAGAAAGAGACGAGGAATTAAAAAAAAAAAAACGTGTAACAGTAGAGAAGAAGAAAAACACGACGAACGATAAGAAATTTTGCTGGACGACCGGGGTAAATATATACATATACAATATATTTTTTTTCTCAAGAACGCGCGCATCGCACGTAGGCAAACCCCCGGTAGAGAGGCGTCCAGTTCTTTTTTGTAAATATTTGTATAAACGCAATGCGACGAGGCGAAGCGATTTAGATATGTAAGCGTATAGAGGAAGCGTCGATCGCGGTGAGAGTCGACGTCGACGTCGCCAGACCCGCTCAGTTGGCAGCGCCGAGTACTCTCACCACGCGAATAGCGTGCGTTCTCTCTCTATTTTTTTTTTTTTTTTTTTCTTTTTTATTACGTTCGTTCGATAACGAAACGACAAAGCGACTAGTAATAACAATAATAATAATGATACCGAACGAAGAAAAAAAAAAGGAAGCAAAAATATGAGCAAGAGGACCGTGGGTTGCGCTTGTCAAGAGAGAGAAAAAAGAAACTAACGTGTCAATCCGAAATCAAGGATGCAAGAGTGTCTTGATATTTTTTTGAGTTATTTGACCTGATTTTTTTTCTCTTTTGACGTCACAGTGTCTCATTGGTTAGGTTCCTATGTTTCACAAGGTCGAGACGAGAGAGAATTTGAAATTTACCCGCGTAAAATGAAGAGCGGAAGAACCCGCTTTCTTCTTGGTTCACTATCTTGTATTTTTTGTTCCGCGAGGGCATACGGCTTTCCTGCATCGGTTTACTGGAATTCCTCGGCGAGGGTTTGTTTTTGTTGAATTTTGGTCTTTTCTTCACTGTGAGATTTCGTTTAAAAATATGTACCGCAATTGCTTTCTGTCCTCTTGTGACAATTATTCGCTTCGACAGGCGGCCGCGGTGGCAGACACTGTCACCACGGACAAAGAAATATATTTGTATTTAATAAGATTGTACACTTTGGATATATAGAAAAAATTTGTAACGACATGGCTGCGTCTCCGGAGGCCTTATAATACAAGACGTGGGATCTCCCTGAACTTCTTTCATATTTAAGCGAAACGATACAAATACTAAGTATTCGTATATCAGGTATAAAGTTCTTTCTGGAGTCCAGCACTTTCAAGTATTACATGTCGCTTCCAGAGGCGCAACAAAGTACGGAAACAAGCACGTCTTCCCGAACACTCCACATAACCGACAAGTGAAAAAAAAAGGAAGAGAAAAAGAATTGAAATCATCTGAAAATACCCTGAAATCCAGATCCATTCTCACACGATCCCATTTGGTTTTCTATGACGATTTTACGAACGCCCCTTACCTACCCCACCTCACTGATAATCCTTCCCCTATCTACCACAAAGTGAAAACACATAAATACCAACAAAACAATACGTCGAATAGCAATCGTTGTAGCGGATAACGAAGACTTTCTAGTGTACCATATACTTTGAGGAAACGCGTAACACTACTGTTTATCGTATGTATGCAAGAAGCAAAAAAAAAGCAAAAATATATGTGTTGATGTGTAACAAAATTCCACGAAGTCGTTAATTCATTTGAATCCCATGCGTGCAGCAACGTAACGGCGCACCGTTTCATGTAAATCATCCAATAACCTCAAACCTTATCCTAGCGCCACTTATCTCATGAACCTAGTGGCCATTCTCAAAAGTGCATCCACCCCAGTGCACTGTGGGCACCACCAAATTATCGCAACATAAAAGCATATCGAGGATAACCTTAATTCAAGAAGCCAGGCTTTTAAGATACTTTGGCTGCTGCAGCTGCACGTGCAGCAATGACATTAACTTTGGCACAGTGGCTTGGCACGATATTCGTGCTACGTATGGCCGGTATAGGCTAGGTCATCTGCAGTGTTGTGTTGTAATCGCCGGGCCGGGGGCCAGGGGGGG